CCGGGTTTCTATTTTATCCTAATCAGTTTCTCATACTGATCCCATCAATTAAAAAAACCAACATTATATATAACAAATACAAGAAAGTGGAAGGTGATAGTCATGAATATAAATCAGAATGTAGGAATGGTAGAAAATTGATAAGGGAAGCAAAGGGACAATAGAAGAAATTTATGGCCAGCAGAGTTAAGGGCAATGAGAGTTTTAAAACTATATTAGGAACAAAAAGAATCCTAACAATGGTATTTGTCCATTACTAGATAGAAATGGGAGAATTATCAATAATAGTGAAAGTAATAAGCCATTGGAACAACTTACCAAGGGTCATTGGGGATTCTCCATCGCTGACAATGTTTAAATCAAGACTAGATGTTTTTTGAAAAGATCTGCTCTTCAGAAGGAATTATTTTGGGGAGTTCTATGGCCTGTTACATAGGAAGTCACACTAGATGATTACAGTGGACCCCCTTCTGGCCTTAGAATCTATAACTATGAAAAATACCTTAGCTGAGTGCCTGAGTTTCTGTTACAGGTTTTAACAAATTTTAACCCAAAGAGTTTAACTAAGCATCCTCTAATTGCTGGGAAAGCAGTAGCTCAAGTTTCAGCTCAGTACTTTTCCCCTAAACCTCTATCCGGTCTTCCATTGCGTCTCCAGCAGAAGTAGGAAAGTTGAGAAGTGATATTCCTGATATTTCTCAGGCAAGAAAAAACTTGAGGCTCTTGACATTACATCATAAAGGAGCACTAATTTCTCCCCTTTTAATTTAAGAATTAAATGTAAAAATTATAACAATATCAAAGATTCATGATTAAGACCACAGAAAGTCAGGCAATTAAAAACTTCATTTTCTGATAGCCTCATAAGTACTTATTGGTATTCTTGCTCAAATGTGTCATTTAAGATAGCGTGACCTCTTGGTCCAATATTGGCAGTTAGCCAATATTCAGAGTCTTGCCAGGTTGTTTCAGTTAGGAAGATAAATTGATTATATAAGTCAGATATTTCTCTGGGGAAATCGTGTTTACGAAGAATGTACCCAAAGTTCTGTTTTCCTGAACAAAGTAGGAACAAACTGAGTTTCCTTGTCCATAATCCCCAAGCTTGCATTTCCAGAGAGTCCTGTGACCCAAGGAGCTCTGTTTCTGTTCCCTCTCAGGGCCATGCTCATGACGGTTTCTCTCAGTGTTTACTAGTTTTCTGTCTCAGACACACACTGTTGAAACAAATCAGTGTCAAAGCCCCTGCATTTGCAAATGGTCTCCAGGGAAACCCCATAGGCAACATGACTTAGCTTCTGCTCCTGCCCTGACATGATAGTCACTGCCTTGGATGGTAGCTTCATTTGTTTCAACTATCACTACACAAAGAGGCATTTAGTTGCTGCTTCTTTTAGACTGATTGAAGGGTTCTTATTATACCCATTGACATGATTGATGGCAGTCATTAACACCTTCCAACATAACTTTACTACTTTTTGTTACATATTTAAGGAAAACAAGAACACAAAATAGTATACAAGTAAGATGCAACTGAGTTAATTTTGCTAGTGCAGCAGTTCTCAACCTGAATCCCGCCATCCCATGGGGGTTGAACTCTCAGCTGCCCTGGAATTACACTGCCCCATGGGGGCTGAAGCCCAGCTGCCCCGGAACCCTGCCATGCCACAGAGGCTGAAGCCAAAGCCTGAGCAACTTCGCTTTGCAGGGCCCCCTGTGGCACAAAGCCTCAGGCAATTGCCCTGCTTGCTACCCCGCAACGTTGGCTCTAGCTTTCATATGCAGAAAAACAGTTGTTCTGGCACAGGTGGGCTGTGGAGTTTAGCATGTTTGGGGTAGGAGGTTCAGAGAAAAAAAAAAAGGTGGAGAACCCCTGTGCTACTAGACATGAGCTCTAGAAATTCCATTGTGTGTTCCATTTTTGTGTCTCAGTGGATTTGCTATACAAATAGTGATCGAATTCTCAGTTTACAAGATAATTTCCTAATTGCTAGCACTGCAAATTCAAACTGGAACCTAAGTGCAAAGAATTATTATTTCTGGCTCACACATCTCCACTCAAAAGCTTCTACAATATGGCCCTCATTTACCATATCTAACCCTGTCTACAGCAGGATTTCAAAGGTGTAAATGAGAAAAGATTTTTGCCCCTGTAATTGGAATTTAGTTAACGATTGTGCTGTTCAGTACAGAATCCAACTCACTCTCCCAAAGTGATATTGGTTCTGCAGTGCTAACAAGATAAATAGTATATTTCTTTTTATTACTTAAATCAGAAGAGCTGGCTGAATACACAAGGGTCTGAGTAAGATGTTTTATGCAGTTACTTTTCAAAGTAGAATTGTGTTTTTAAAAAAATAACAATGAGGAGTCCTTGTGGCACCTTAGAGACTAATTAATTTATTTGGGCATAAGCTTTTGTGGGCTAAAACCCACTTCATCAGATGCATGGAGTGGAAAATACAGTAGGCAGGTATAAATACACAGCACATGAAAAGATGAGAGTTGCCTTACTAAGTGCGGGGGTGGGTGGGTGGGTTGGGGACAGTGCTAATGAGCCATTTCAATTAAGGTGGAAGTGGCCTCTTCTCAACAGTTGACAAGAAGGGGTGAATACCAAGGGAGGGGGAAAAATCACTTTTGTAGTGCAAATGAAGCCAGTGCAATCAAGGTGGCCCATTTCAAACAGTTGACAGGGTGTGAGCATCAGCAGAGGGATACTCACACTTTCTTGTCAATTGGCCACCTTGATTGCATTGGCCTCATTTGCACTACAAAAGTGATGATTTCCCACCCCCCTTGGTATTCACCCCTTCTTGTCAACTGTTGAGAAGAGACCACTTTCACCTTAATTGAATTGGCTCATTAACACTGACCCCCCACTTGGTAAGGCAACTCCCATCTTTTCATGTGCTGTGTATTTATACCTGCCTACTTGTATATTCCACTCCATGCATCTGATGAAGGGGGTTTTAGCCCACAAAAGCTTATGCCCAAATAAATTAGTTAGTCTCTAAGGTGCCACAAGGACTCCTCATTGTTTTTGCTGATACAGACTAACATGGCTACCATTCTGAAACCTGTGTTTTAAAAGTAATCAGTAAATTTGAAATCTCATCTTTTCAAAAAAAGCTTTAAAAGTAGATTCAGATACCACATCTGTGTCTCTCTCTCTCTCCTTTGTTGCTCTCTGAAGGAGTCTCAAAAAATTGGAGAAAGTGACAATATGCAAAATGCTATTAAATTAACAAAGAAAACAAACTCAAAACAGAGGAAGAGAGGTCACTTATACATTCATAGATATTAAGGTCAGAAGGGACCATTATGATCATCTTAATCTGACCACCTGCACAATGCAGGCCACAGAATCTCACCCACCCACTCCTGAAATAAACCTCTCACTTATGTCTGAGCTATTGAAGTCCTCAAATCATGGTTTAAAGACTTGAAGGTGCAGAGAATCCTCCAGCAAGTAACCTGTGCCCCATGCTACAGAGGAAGGCGAAAAAAACCCCAGGGCTCTGGAGGAAAATTCCTTTCTGACCCCAAATATGGCGATCAGCTGAACTCTGAGCACGTGGGCAAGATTCACCAGCCAGATACCCAGGAAAGAATTCTCTGTAGTAACTCAGATCCCCCCCATCTAACATCCCATCGCGTCTATTTATCATGAATAGTTAAAGATCAATTAATTGCCAAAATCATGTTATCCCATCATACCATCTCCTCCATAAACTTATCGAGTTTAATCTTGAAGCCAGATAGGTCTTTTGCCCCCACTGCTTCCCTTGGAAGGCTGTTTCAGAACTTCACTCCTCTGATGGTTAGAAACCTTCATGTAATTTCAAGTCTAAACTTCCCGATGGCCAGTTTATATCCATTTGTTCTTGTGTCCACAGTGGTACTGAGCTTAAATAATTCCTCTCCCTCTCTGGTATTAACTGTGGCTCTCTGAGGGTGTCCTATGCACATTCACACTCTGCCCACCTTCCTCTTTTCCTTCATAAATACGTCACTCTGAGGAACTGAAGTGGCCCTTCTCAAGAACAGGAATAAACAGAAATACGAAGAGAGCACCCTGCAGAAACATTTCCCCCTCTAGTCTTTCAGTTGTAGTAGCCTTTTTTGTTTATAAAAGAAAAATAAGTTTGCAGCACTTAAAGGCTGTGTCAACAGTATTAATAAACTCCTTGCTTAGGAACTAGTGCACTGGTGTAGCTTACGAGCGCTGATCATTTTAACAGTAGAGTCTGAGGCAGGTCTACGAACCTATATCAGTGTAACTGTCACTCAGGGGTATGAAAAATTAATCCCTGAGCAATGTAGCTATACTGAACTAACCCCCCCTCCCCCATATTGACAATGCTATGTCTATATAGCTATTGCCTCTCGGGGAGGTGGATTAATTTTGTCGATGGCAGAAGCTCACCCATTGGCACAGGAGGCTTTCACTAAAGCATTACAGTAGTGCAGCTGCGTGGGTACTGCTGTAGCACATGAAGACAAGCCCTAAGTTCCTTGAAGCAACTATTGCATATGTAGTATCAAACTCTGCACTGAGGAAGAACTTCAACTGAAGTCAATAAGAGTTTGTCTGAGAAAGTAGCGTAGGATGTGGCCCTTAACCATGTAACTGTAGCCTTAATTTTTAGTGCCCATGTTTCATGTGCTGCTTTCAAACAGTCATAGCTGTCAAATCATATCCCAAAGGTTTTACACACACAGAGACACTAATTCATAATGAGATAATTACATCTTTGCAAAGCTTCAATCTTTGGTCATTTTTACTATGTCCACGTGTGGTTAGTTTTGTTTTTTTTATTTTAAGCACACACAGCTGGAAGGGTCTTCCCACCCACTTCCTGGATCTGAAAGAAAATGGAGATTTTGTTCAAATTTTCCTAAAAAGATTCCAGCAGAGAAGAAGAATGAAAAATGTGAGGCCAAGAAAGTAGATTTTGCTGTCTAAAATTCACTAAGTGATACATTTTAACATATACCTTGAGCCCTTGCCAGGGCAGACTGCCTCGAAGGAAATACATGAACATGTGGCCAAGGGCTTCCAAGTCATCTCGCCGACTTTGCTCTGAAAGGCACAAGAGACTACATGTTATTGCTTCAGCTACTGAAGTAAAACTAACTGGTTCAGCAACCAGATTTATTTCTGAAATCTATTACATGAAAAGTCTATTTACTTATCTTTCCATATGCACAAAAGTTATTATAGCTCAGATCATCCTCTTGTATAAGAATACCTAAAACTGGCCAAAGCAAATAAATGCCAAATTAAAAAAAAAGAAAAAAATCAGCTAGCTGTAACTGGCCTACGCAAAGGCTGGACATGCTGTACAATAGAGAATGTTTAAATTCTTATGTTACTCAGATCAAAATGGAGGATTAAAGTAGCAATAGTACAAGAGTAAAACAGTCCCTAAGCTGTGATCTCAAGAGTGATGGTGGTCTGAAGCATTTGATGAGCATCCTGTAGAGACTGGATAGGTCACATGTTGCTGGCTCTTTTCCAACTGTTTTTATAGCTCATTATATCACAGCAATTAAAAATAAATACTTCCCTGTTTCTTTTCCTTACAAGTGTTTGCTACAGTTGCCACAAAGATGTTATATGATTGTTAATGGGAGAGAAGGTGGTCCATATGATCACAGGTGAGACGGGATGTGTCCAGAAGATAATCCATTAAGATGCGGGCCTACATTATGAAAGTTCAAGAACCGATGCAATAGAGGACACCAATCCTAAGTATTTCATTTATTAGTTCAGATACAAATGGAGCTTTTTCCTTGTATTGTTCAATATGACCCAAAATGCTTGATTTCAAGTTTTCAAAGCTAGGAGACCCCAGCTTCAATATGTTTGATTTCTAGTTTATGATGTTTTAGAAAAAGTTCTGAACTCTGTTTAAGATGCAGTTTATGGATCAACCTGCTGTCCCCAGGAATTAAAAAACTGAAGTTAAGCTAGGTTACAGACTAGTCTGCCATTACTTCCATCTGCAGGCAGCTCACACATTCAGAGCCAGGCATGTGGAGCAAATCCAGTCATCCAACCCACATGTAGAAACACAATATGCTTAAAGAGCTGTCCCTGTGCTGTGTAATTTGCATGAAGAGGAGCAAGCAGTCCTTTGCACAGCATGATGTGTCTTGGAAACTACCTAGCAAATGTAGCTCTCAAAATAGTATGTGAAGAGGAGAGGCTAAAAAGGCAACTACTGCATATTACTGATGTAGCTGTAAATAGGAAGGATACAACTCTTAATTCAATGGGGAAAATAATTACAATATGGATACAGTTATCAGCAAGAGAGTCAGGATCTTTGACCTTGGAAAAGGACTGGTAAAATGCCATAGTCAGTTTGATTAGAGTAATAATGCTCAGCATTAAATCATTAACAAGAAATTGGCAATGATGATCTAGGGAGGACTTTGATTATACACTCTCCCCACCTTTATGCAGGAGGAAACTTCATCTGGGCCAAATTCACTAGCAAGACACCACTCATACTGTGGCTTCCTGCAATGCCTCCAACCTATTACAAGAGTCTCAATTGCTACATCTTCCTGTAACAATAGGCTCCTCTTAAGTAGTTAGGATGATAGATGCACTGTACGAGGTCTTAACATGTTGTCTAAACTAGGTGGAACAACTATCCACATAAGACAATAAGGGCCCAACACCACCTTCCCAAAATTAAAAACATCTTAGAAATAACTATACTTTCCAAAAGCAAGGCCTTAAAGTAAGCTAGAAAAGCTGCAATGAAAATAAATCCATTGCATACAGAAAGTACATGGTATAATTAATAATTTAAAATATAAAAACAAGTACTATTCTCCTTTTGGGACTTGAGTGACTTGGTGCAAAAATAGTTTTGAAGACAATAGTTAAATCACCCAAACTTTTAAAAACATTTCCTTTCACATCCTGCATACTTACAAATCAGTGTTCATCAACAATTAGGGTGACCAGACAGCAAATGTGAAAAATCGGGATGGGGGTGGGAGGTAATAAGAGCCTATATAAGAAAAAGACCCCAAAATCGGGACTGTCCCTATACAATCGGGACATCTGGTCACCCTATCAACAATAAAAATCAAGGTTATTCACCAGTTAGTGGAGTTTGAGAACAGCCTCTGCACATTCCCAGTTGTAGGATCAAGGAATCTGTACCATCAGCTTTCTACCTCTTCTAAACAGCAGCATCCATGGGGACTATTCACACTCCCTGTCCCGCCTACCTCCTTGTGAACATTTTTGAGGCTATAAAATAGGAGAGTGAGGAGGGATTGGCCCAAACAGACACCACTCTCCAGAAGCTTCCAAAAGGAGTGTATTTGCCTTGATCTCATAAATGGGAACGTAGAGAGGCCACTCACAAAATATTCCATTAACCTAAAAGTTTAAGTGAACACAAATATTTAGTAAAATGGAGTTGATCTGGAACTTCAAAAGCAATTGCTTTCAAGTTTAGAACAGCAACATTTTAGTCACTTAGGGCAAAGAAGTTTCTTTCTCCTAAGATATTAAAATCAGGTAAAGCGAAGTGATGCTTTGTTAAATGTAGTGGAAACCAGAGCAAGGTGTTCTCCTACTTTAGCTGCTATTTGGAGGAGGCATGTGATGGGCTAGATAATTTAACAGTCCCAACATGCTGCCTGCCAGCTGTTCCAACTTTCTCTGAGACCGGCAAGTGTTTAGAGCAAGATTCTTGTTTCCCTGGCTGAAGGGACAACCCTCTTATCATGGAAGGTTGAAGCAGGGGCCAAGGAGAATGAGATTCTGTAAAATGAAGTCAAGGAAATGTAAAATATTTAGGAAAATTATGAAAATTCAGTTATCCCCTTCTACCAACAGTACAGAAAGTGACGGACTGATTCAGCAACCACTGAAAATGGAAGGCTCTGGGCAAAACTGAACAAATACACAGAACTGTGCAGCAGAAGAGAACTGCTGCTTTAAATGTTTATATAAAATAATTACTCAAACCTCCCCTTCCACCAGTGCAGAACTGTTCCCTTCTGTATATTCTCCTGCATTATTCCTTGCCTAGTTTTAAAAGAAGAGACCATCATGATAAATGCATATAATCATTAATAGTTTAGAGATGGCTTGACTGGTACTGGAACACCATGGGCCAATCTATAGCTGGAGCTCTAAAGGAGAATGTAATGCTCTTATTAAAAAGAGTACAAAGCATAGTAAGTTAGCATAAAGCGAACAAACCTTTGCCAAGATGTGTATTGATGGACATATATCTTGCTGTTCCAGTTAGGCTCTTGTGTTCCCTGTAAGGTATGTGTTTTTTGGTTTCAGGATCAATGTACTCCTTGGCCAATCCAAAGTCGATGATGTGAATGACGTGTTCTTTCTTATTGCCTTGCCGGCCAATAAGGAAATTCTCTGGCTTGACATCTCGGTAAATGAGGTTCTTTGAATGCACATATTCCATTCGAGATATCTGCAGAAGTATGAGACAAATGTTATTCATATCCAGTACACTAATCACACTTTGCTGCTAATGGCCCATTAATACTTTGTATTAACACAGCCATTCACACCCAGTGATCTCAAAGTGTTTTGCAAATACAATACACACATAAGGAATGGAATTTTACAAATAGGGAAACTGAGGCAGAGATTACATGACTTACCCTAGGTTAGAGAGTCATATACAGAGCAGAGAACTGTACCCAGAATTCTTGACTCCCCGACCCCTGCTCTAAACACTACATTATACTCCCTCTATTTTATGTGAAGGAATGAAATATGTAAAAATATTCAGAGGTGATTTTTTTAAATACACATAATCAACAGAGCATAACTCTTGGAATGATTCCATGCAGGACTAAAACAAATAGCCAGACATTTTTGCATTGATTTTTAAAAACACTTCTAAACCCAGATTACTGAGAATTGTCGCTCTTTTTGCCTCGCTTTACTGCTCCTACTCTCACCAATCTCCTCCCTCATCCCATATGCTGCCTCAGACCATGCCAAGTTCTTAAGGGGGAAAAAAGTCTCCTATGTAACAGCACTAAGAATAATAATGACTTAGTCATGTCGGCTGTCAATAATTAGAAATAGCAAGGAAACTTTCAGACAATCAATGAATTAAAGTGTTATTACTGCCCAATCCTACTCTTATGCTGGCACTACTCCTGAAAAAGGCTTAAAATCCTTTACACTTCCACATTCCATATATGGCCCAAGATTTCCAATGCTGCCATAAGCAGCTGTTTTTCTTTAGGGTTTGTCTTCACTGCAGAGTTAGCTTGAGGCATAAAACTCTGATGTTGCCTACAACCCAACTCCTATCCACTCACAAGCTTGAGTAAAGGTGTTTAAAACTCAAGAGAGCTAGCCCATCAGAAGAGTGTGGGTTTGAGCCTGAGTGCTGCTGATGCTTCAGCTAGCGATGCAGTGGGGATGCAGGTACTCTGTGCAGCTAATCCAATCACTATGTGCAGCTGAGCGTTTTGCAGTGCAACTGCTCTCAGCATAGTCTATACTACAAACATAGGTCAACTTAAGTTTCAGCATGTCTCCACTCAAATGTGTCTCCAGCTGACGTAAGTCCCCTGATAGAGCAATGCAGTAAAACTACCTCCCTGAATGACGTGGAGGCATGGTCAGTCTATTGAGGTCAACACAGTGAGTGTAGATGTGTGAGCCACCACCTTTTGAAGCCCTTTAAAAATATTTTTGAAAGGCCTTTTCCTGATTGCCCAGCTTGGCAAGCATACCTAGCAGCTCTTCCTTGTGATGTGCAACTCCACAACTCACCAGGCCAGCTCCACACACTAGACACTCCCTGGTGTAGACAGGAGGTATTGGATCTCCTGGGCCTGGGCGGAGAAGATGCTATGCAAGCACAGCTATGGACCAGCCGAAGAAACATGGACACCCATGAACAGATTGCATGGGGATATAGGCAAAAGGGTAGGCCAGGGATCAGCCACGCTGCTGCATGAAAGCGAAGGAACTGCACCAGGCATATCACAAGGCCAGGGAAGCCAACAACCTGTCTCGTGCCAAGCTGCAGACCTGCTGCTTTGACAAGCTACATGCCATACTTGGCACAGACCATACCAGCATCCTGAAAGGCACCATGGATACCTCAGAGGAGCCTGAGACAAGAGATCCCTGATGTGAACAGTGAGGAGGAGGAGGAAGATGCCGGGGGGTGGAAAGGGGAAATGTGGTTGGGAGAGGTGTCCAGTCATGCCACAAGTCAGGACCTGTTTGAGACTCCACCACAGTCTACCCAATCCCACTGAGCATGGCAAGCCCAATAAAGGAGAAGACACCTCAGGAAAGTGTGTGCATGCATTTTTCCTTACAATGTTTAAATGTAAAGATGGCGTCCATCCCATCCCCAAGTTTACAAGACACAGGTATCAACTTTTAATTGTTTTACTCGTACGAGAAAAGGGAGCAGCACAACAAACTGAGGCAGAGTGATGGAGAATCCACTATGACCCACAGTAAATTCTTCCAGCAGTTAATTCCCCTTACTGTCAAAAATTTACACCCCATCTCCGTTCTGAGTTTGTCTAGCTTCAACTTTCAGCCATATCTTTCTCTGCTTGATTGAAGAACCTATTATTACATATTTGTTCCCCGTGTAGGTTCTTAGATTGTAACCATCACCCCTAAACCTTTCCCATGCCACTCCAGTATTAATTCTGCTGGCATCATTGCGGTACACAGCATGGCAGCATGAGGACCAGGTCTGTACCCAGACGCTTGCAGTGTCTGTTCCCTTGCCACCTCTGTTACCCTCATGAGACTGATATCACATAGGGTCACCTTGGGGAGACAGCGGAAATTTTCATTACAAGTGCTCGTACCGCAAACAATAGAGCATGTGATCCCCACCCATAGTGATATCCGGGTCTCTCAACCATGGCTTCCCCTAACATGCCGCTGGTTTGGGTGGCAGGGATCAGTGTTGACCTCAGAATCTGCAAGTCCAGGGTGACTGCTACCAGCAGCATGAAGGGTGTGTGTGCTTTTCCTGTGTTCTCTTGTCATCGCAGCCCAAATCCCGGAGCCGCTGTGGACGAAGACTGCACATTGGAAGGCTTTACGCTGGTCCCCAGTCTCTATGCACTGGCCATGTTGCTAAGGGGAGAGGGTATTGCCCACCTGTGCTCCTGATGTGGGTTGCCCACAAGTTGCAGCACAAGGTCCATTGCCCATGCCACCAGGTCATACTCACCATCGCCGGAACAGCAAACCAGGTCACTGAATAGCTAGGGATACTGATTATGTTCTGGCTTGCATGTCAGTGTAATAAGGGGAGTGATTTTTAAATAGCAACTTGGTACTAGACCCCCGGTATGCACTGACAATGGTTGCTTGTGCTTTGCATGCCTTACAGTGGAAAGCTTGGCCTGCAACACAGCTCCCCAGACCGGTGGAGAAGCTACAGCAGATTAGAAGACAGAAAAAGAGAATGCATGATGACATGTTCAGCAAGTTGATAATACCTCTGGGAGAGCTGACACTGAGCTAAGAGCCTGGAGGATTTCATTGTCTGAAAAAATGGACATGGAAAGCAGGAGAGCATCCCAGGAGTATGAGCATGCTGTTCAGGATAAGATGCTCTGGATTATGAAAGAGCCATCAGACATGTTGAGACATCTGGTTCAGTTTCAAGAAAAACAGCTTGAGGCTAGACTCCATCTGCAGCCCCTGCAGAACAGCCTGCAAACATCGCCCTGTTCCCAATCCCCGCCCCCATCCCCCCCAAATGTTCCAGGAGGCAGGGGGAGGAGGTGCAGTATCCCTTTCACTCAACATTGGGGGAGGATATTAAGAACAAAAGGTGGCCATTCAAAGACCTTTGATGGGCAAGATTTCTGTACTTACAGATAAGCTGACTTGGTTTCTCCTCTCTCAATTTTATCACACTGTTTCCCCAAGGTTAAATTATTTTCGTGGTCTTTCAGTTTGTTTGTGCAATAAAAGTCAATGTTTCAAGAATTAAATACTCTTTATTTATTCCAAGCATGGAGGTTAGGGGGGAGGTGGGCAGGCAGGCAGGAAGAAGGGAGGTATAGGGAAACTGAAGCAATGGTGGGGATAGTTTGTGTGATGGGCTCCCCCCGGTGTGCCACCTGGAACTGGGGTACCACTGAGCCTTCTGACCTACCAGCCTGGGCTCCCTCTCACACTGTGCTGCTGTGACAAGCTGCAAAGCCCTCCAGCCTGCAATTTACCAGCATTCACACAGGTAGGGACTCACCCAGCTGCAGTTACACACAGGCTCTCTAACCACCAGCTTCCCAGCCTAGGGCCCCAGAGCAGTACGATCCTGCCCTGGTCAAATCTGACCAGTATATGGGTTTATTATCCAGTCCGCCTCTCCCTCAATGTGAAGAGAGCAATGCACACTTGTGGTAACCAAGCAGAATTTTTTCCTCAAGCACTCCAGTCAAAACTCACTGTTTTGGATTAAAACATAAAATAAGTTTATTAACCAAAAAAGGTAGATTTTAAGTGATTATAAGTGATAAGAAACAGACCAAAACAGATTACCCAGTAAATAAACCACACACAAACCAAGTATAAAATACTAGAAAGATAGGGTATGAACTAGCAGATTCTCACCCTGAGAGATGATACAAGCAGGCTGCAGATTCTTAAGGGGCAAGCTGCATTTGCTTTAGAGCTTGGAACCCCTAGATCTTTCATACACAGGCTAGAAATCCCTTTAGCCTGGATCCAGCACTTTCCCCAGTTCAGTCTGTTCCTCAGGTGTTTCAAGTTGTCTTCTTGTGTGGGGAGTGAAGAACCACAGATGTCACTTCCTGCCTTATACAACTTTAGCATATGACGGGAACCCTTTGTTTCAAAGCTTGGTTCCCAGACTGGTTTGTGGAAAATACTGACATCCCAAGATGGAGTCCAGCATCATGTGTCCTGGACACATCCTTGTAGAGTCATAGCAGCCATTACTTACAGGCTTTCTGGAGTGTTCTCCAAGTGGGAGATAAACTTCTTGTAAGGCTTATTGTTTTCCCTAATGGGTCATCGCCCTGAATAAGCCCTTGCCAACCAGCTATCTAGACTGAAAGCATCTTGTCTAGTGGGCATTACCCAGGTGTAACTACATTTGAAGTACAGATACATAGTCAGTATTTATAACTTCAAATACAAAAATGATACCTGCATAATAGAATAATCATATTCAGCAAATCATAACTCTTTCAATGACACCTCACATGACTTATCTTGTACAAAATGCATCATAATTATGCCATAATCCTATCATATTGTCATCACTGTGAAGAACATGGGGTGCAGTGTTACAATATGGGAAGGCACAATGCAGATAAGGGGCGCACATTACTGTGGCTCATTACTGAAATAAGTTTTCAAAGCCTCCCGGAGATTTAGAGCTCCTCGCGGGGCTCTTCTTAATGCCCTGGTATCTGGCTGATCAAAATTAGT